AATGGGTGCATTCGTGAAGACTCGGATTACGAAAATTCTGTTGAGTTAAGTATCTATTTCTTTTGTATAAACAGGTCAGTTTTGAAGTGATGCTGGTTCCATCGAACAAAAACGCAGTTTCCTTGTTACTAAGTCCGTTGTCTTCATTCTTTTCAGTGACGGAGTCAACAGCAACGTGAAACTAGGTACGATGGTGGTAGGCTGTTTTGTCACATCTATTTGGAAGGGTTCATTGACAAGTCACCTAGCTTATAACTGAAGGGAATCTGGAAACAGACCCACCTTGTGACCTAAATACCACGCTTGTACACAGGTGCTATTCTAGTAAGCATGTCCGAAAGAACTGGGATTCACGTAATAGTCTAAATTTATGTGGGAAACATATTTCTACCGTACTTCCATTTCATTTATAAAGAACGATATAAGTTCGAATTATCGAAAATTATTTATTTATTTGAACATATAAATAATGGTTCAAGAGGGCACCAAATACATATGCGCGAAACAAAACAATGAGAACTTGAAGAGAAGGAAAAAAAAGTAAGAAGCGTAAAAAAAACAATAACGTACAGATTAGTGTAAGGTAGTGTAATAATAATAATGGGGGGGGGACAAAAGGTACAATCAGAAGAAGTCTTTCAGTTAAGGAAGATACAACCACTTTTTATTAAGAATGTAAAAGAAGGTTACAGCAGGGTCGCAACTGGCTTCTATTCTCAGTCATATCTGATAACGTTTCTAGCCACTGTGTAGCACCATCTCTAGGACCCCAACCAGGGAGTCGTGAAGGACCACAGAAGCCAGTCCTTTGCAGCTTCCTTTCATACCACGACACCATGTCACAAAATGACCACCTCACCGCTTCTTCCAACCAGTACCACAGTCGGCAAATAATGCACGACGTGGAATTCTCTGGGACGACATTCGTAGAACATGTCCAAGTCACCGAAGTCGATGTTTCAAGATGGTGACACCAATTGCATTATCGTCTCTGTGCCCGAACACACGATGCCGAACCTCTGCATTACTAACATGGTGTTGCCACTGGATGTCAGCAATCCTTCGGAGACAGCGATGATCGAACACAGAGTCGTCTAACATCCTCAACTCGAAGAGGCCAGGTTTCACAAGTATAGAGCGAAACCACTCTCACCAACGCGTTGTAGATCCGACCTTTTACAGCCAGACTAACATCACGAAGGCGCCAACGATGGCCCAGATTGGCATAAGCCGCTCTGGCTTTCACTATACGTGGATTGATCTCATCACTCACGCCACAACCAGCAATTATGCACCTACCTAGATACACGAACTTCTCGAATACTTCTGTCTGCTCACCATCCAGGGTGAGTACAGGATTGGAATCCTGCCAGTCTTGCAGAAGTACTTTGCAATTCGACGGTGCGAAGCACATACTATACCTACGGAAACTGATCGCCAACTGATTAAGTGCGGATTGCATGCCTTGGGCATTATCGCACAGTAAGACAATATCATCCGCATACTCAAGGTCGAGAAGTCTTTCTCCAGGCAGCAGATCTACACCGCCATTAATTACATCCATCAGAGCTGTTTCCAGAATGTCATCGATGGCAAAGTTGAAGAGGAATGGTGAGATTGGGCAACCCTGTCTAACCCTACCGCTTGAATGGAACAATATAGAGAGGTGGTTGTATGCCCTCACTCTGCATGAGGTGTTTGTATATAGGGCCCTTAGGATGTTACTAAACTTCTCAGGCACACCCTTCTTCAATAGACAATCTCAGGGAGCAGTCCTATCCAACGAATCGAAGGCAGCCCTGATGTCAAGAAACACTACGATTGTTGGCCTTTCATAAGTATGGCGGTGTTCTAACATTTGGCTGAGGGTGAAGATATGATCAATACATCGTCGACCAGAACGAAACCCAGCCTGCTCCTCGCGAGTCAATCTTTCTCGGGTTTTGAACAACCTACGAAGTATGACGGAAGCCAATAGCTTGGACGCAATCGGAAGTAGACTTATCCCCCGATAGTTGTTACAGGAACGACGTGAATCCTTTTTAGAGATAGGGACAACTATCGACTCATTCCATGACGTTGGTACACTCTCTAGTTCCCAAACCTTTGTAAACAACGTCGTCAATTCCTTAGTCAAAAAGTCACCACCATCTTTAAAAAGAGCCGGAGGTAAGTCATCTGGGCCAGGTGATTTGTAACGCTTCAAGAGTTGGAGTTCCTTGCGGACTTCCTCCTCATTTGGTGGATCAGTCGTCACCGGCCATGGAGGGCAGGACAGTCTGACCGATGTTGCCAGAGCAGCAGGCCAGTTGAACTGCCCTTCGAAAAGTTCTGCCCACCGTCCAGAATCCTAGGATTAATAATCCTCTTTCTTCCAATTAATCAATGTTAATTTAAATGTCATTATGTAATTATTACGTAACATATCCACTCGATGAGTATTATATTAGTATATATTAGTGTAGAGCCATGATGAAAAACTAATTGAAAAGAAATTTCTTCGCTCAATTCGTTCCTTCTTTATTTGACAAATGGCAAAATGGGAATATTCATTATATTGAATTCCAAATACACTGAGAATTCTCTAATAAAAGGAATGATCACATAATTGATAAAGCGAAATGTTTCAATTTTCTATTTTTCAAAAAAGGACTACCCTCTAGTGGTCATGGGAATCTTCATTGAACAGGGAACACCATTCATCGAAAGATTCTTTGAACGAATAGCAGCTTTATCCTACCCAAAGTCCAGGCTTCATATAGTCGGTCATATGGCGGTAAGACAACAATTCAATGTTTGTCGCTTAAACCTTAATGTGTGTTTTATTTCCTACAAATTTAGGACATATTTTTCCCGTATTTTACATTGCATATGTTTCTCACCAGGTAAATTATTTGAAGTGTGTAAAATAAAAGCCAAATTAAAATGTCATTGTCCTGTTTGTGAGTGACCGAACAGGTGGCATTTATGATGCCATTAGAAATACAAAGACAACCCCATTCTTCTACTGAATTCCAACTTAATTTGGGATAAGTGGCTAAGGCATTGGATTCGAAAACACATGACTTCGCAAGCCGTTTGTTTTGCAGAAATAGGTGTCAAGAAAAATCACACTGGACAAAATTTAATGCCTACATAAGATTGACGTGAGCGTCTTGTTCTACTGAACAGCCTTGGTTTGCAGAACCATGTCGGTTCTATAGTTATGGACACATTTTCTTGGCAATAATTGATTACAGATATTGCAAATGACCGCACTGAGGGCGATTTTCGGATACACATTTAATACAAGCTTGGTTGCTAACATGCACACTACATGGAATGTACGAAACGGCAGTTTGAACTCAATTAACGCCTTAGAAAGAGTATTCAAACTAAATGGATCACTGTACATGGTCCACCATGGTAAGTAGAACTACGATAGTTTAAAGATCACCATGAAGTCTGAGACAAAATCGATTGAACTGACTGATGGTTTAGCTACACCTAAATTATTCATATTTTCTTGATAGGAGAACAGTAAATTTCAATCTTCAGTAGCGGAGTCGTTCAACCAAACTTTTGGACATCAATACTTTTCAGTTAGCTGGCTTGAGGAAAATCTAGATGAGGAAATTGCAAGAAAGAAAGTATTGTAAGTTTTCCATTTAATTGTGACTTATTGGTACTTTATTTTCAGCGGATATTGTTTAGCAATTGAAGATTGTAAATACGTGTTTGCAGTAGACAGCATTGCTCAACTGGACAATCCAGAAACTCTGAGTCATTTGGTTAAAATGAACCGTTCGATAATAGCACCTTTGTTAACTATAAGAGGAAAAGCTTGGTCGAACTTCTGGGGAGCGTTAGATGCTGATGGGTTTTACGCTAGGTCTAGTGACTATATGGATATAATATATTACAATATAACGTAAGTTGAGAAGAAATATTAGACATTTTTGAATCAACTTCCGTACGATATTAACGATCTCGATTTTCAGAGGGATTTGGAATGTACCCCTGGTTAGGAGTGCCTACTTAATATCGCGATGGGCAGTACGTAAACTGATCGATGTCAGTAACAGCGAAATGAACTTTGCATATGAAGCAAGAAATAAGGTAAGCATCAAAAATAGATTATTTTATAATTATGTGAAGGAATTAAAGTTAATTGTTGCAGTATAATTAGCATTTCTAACATACAACCGTTAAGTGCATGCAAACTTTTTCAGGCATTATGTACAAAAGGTGTTCTGATAGACTATATTGTGAGCGGCATACTTTTATTTTCAGCAGAACACAATGTGTGAAACACACAAGAAATTATATTTTGCTTTTCACACTTGGATTTGGGAAATTTCAGAGGAAACACTTCTCAGCCTACGGCTATGCTAACTGAACAATTAATGCAATTATACAGGATATTTTCGATATTTATACGAAGAACCTAAGGAACTGAAAAGAGAGTACCAAGACTAGTGATGAAATCTTGTGAAACAAGTGTACTCATAAAGATGTATTTTTTAGAGTGCCTATTTATTCCGTTTGAGCTGATCAAATACAGTAATTAATTTTAACATAAACTTTACACAAAATTGATAGTTCTGAATTAAATTCGCTGCAAACAAACTTACTAATATATTTGTAACATCTTCAAAACTATGTAACCCTATACTAAGAGCGGTATATACACATGTTCACTTATGAATTACCAGTATTGCAACGACGCGATTTTCCACTCACAAGTTTTGCATACATGTCGAATCGTACTACGAAAAATGAAAGGAAGTTTATGGAATTACAATTAACGCCCTTTAATTTTTGTTTTAGAATGTTTTTATGTTCGTTGATAACCAAATGAACTTCGGATATCTGATCGACGCCAAAAACTATACGAAAGGTAAACTGCACAACGACTTGTGGCAAACGATGGAAAATCCCCAGGTAAGTCTGGAAACCCAGCATGTTCATTATTTCTACGTTGAAATATGCTTTATTACAGTCACCAAAAAAGAGTTCATCATTAGCACAAGTTATATTTGAATTTTCGACGTTTGATTACATAAAAAAAACCAGTAACATGTTAGTTACATAAAGTACACGAATTCGCTTCAGTAGATGAGTTTTTTCGTAATCAAGACTGCATGTATAAGCACTTTCAGGAGCAACAAGGGACTAAAAACAGATCTACAAAAGAAAAACATTCCGATAGAAATCAGCGCAGCCCTGTCTGCGCATTATCAGAATCAACAGCCAAACAATTATTGTTATAAACTGCGTAGATAAACAAAGATGACAACTGTTTCAATTTGTAAGCATATATTACCGTCAGGAATTGTGATTAATAACTACTATAAACATTGTATCTACACTCTCCTAATAACACGAAATTGACTTTAAACAGGACTGGGAAGAAAAATACATACACCCGCAATACTTCAACTTTGCGAAACCTGAAATCACAATGACAGATATTGATCAGCCATGCCCAGACGTATTTTGGTTTCCTTTAGTATCAGAAACTTTCTGCAAGCATCTTATCGAAGAAGTAGAAAACTATGGACAATGGTCTACAGGCGATAACTATGACCCACGATTGGAAGGAGGATACGAAAATGTACCAACAAGAGATATTCACATGCGCCAAATTGGTTGGGAGGAGCACTGGCTGCATATTCTAGAAAAATACGTCCATAAGATGCAAAAGAAACTCTTCCAAGGGTATGACGACAAGGTAGGTACTCTCCAGTATGAGATGATGCACCCATCTAATGTCTGATAATAATTGATTTTGTCTGTACATTATTGTAGCCATGGGCCCGTATGAATTTTGTCGTCAGATACAAACCAGACGAACAACCTTCTTTGAGACCTCATCACGATGCATCTTCTTACACAATTAATATTGGACTAAACCAGCCTGGGAAAGACTACAAGGTGAGTAATTCTTGACGGCAGTAAAACGCTTATTAGAGCAGAGAATTAAACTCATTTCTTTTATTTACAGGGAGGTGGGATACGTTACAATCGATATAACTGCTCAATCGTCAATACACGTGTTGGATGGGCAGTAGTTAGTCCAGGAAGAGTGACTCATCTACACGAAGGACTAGCAACGACAGAAGGGACACGATACATTTTTGTTACTTTTGTCAATCCCTAACTTTGTCGTCTTTGTACGTATTTGTTTGGAAAATTACATTTAATGGTAATAAAAGCCTTGCTTTGATGATTGCATGCAATACAGTAATAACCCAAAAAGTTGTAACTGTCTTAACTACGCATATCTCGAATAGCTAAAAAAGACAAACTGATAAACTTACGATCAATCGTTTCATGTTCAAACATTTTCTTATTAGTGGACGGATTTCCGAATGAAATTCACAATACAGTTGCATACCGCCTTAGTACAAATTTCGAATAGTAATTTTATTTCTCTTATTCAATTCAAGCTGCCGCAATCCTGAAACTACAAATTCGAGGTTTCTTGAGATGCGAATGACTTCAGGTAGAATGCACCTAGACATTCCCACTAGCTCTTTCAGAAAATTCAAAGCTCACATACATTGCGATCGACAATGACTTACAACACCTGTTTTCACGAGAATTCAAAGCGCCATGACGCTACGTAAGAGTCGATTACGTCAAAACAAACGAAGCTGTCGAGCTGAGTATAGTTTCGTTAAATATATTCAGTTGGAGCGAACCACCTAAATATCCGGTGAAAAGATGACTGATTTCAGTAACAGCGTTCAGGTTTTGCCGAATTCTCAGTATTTCGTAATTTATTTTCTTTGTCCACATAAAATTATTTCGGAATTACTTCATGTCAATTCTTCATTTTCATTACTCTTCTGTATAATTTCTTAACATTAGAGTATTCTATTTTCTTATTTGCCATTCATACAACTGTAAAAGAAAGACAAAATGAATCATAATTCTTGACTATATATTTATTTTTTATCATATGTGAGTGAACAGATGGAGGAATTGTATTACAGACAAGTGATGAAACAGTCGTACACTGAAGCAGAAATGCATCTCAGTAAAAATGGGTTTAACACAAATGTTGTCAGTGTTTAGTAACGCCCTGAAGGAAAACATCAGGTTAAAATGCAGCGCTACTTACGATCATAGCTACGCGAACGAGACCTTGAACGAGAATAACGTCCACGTGGAGAAATACTTCGTCTCCGAGGAATAGGGCGTCTAAAAAAGGATCGAAAGCTAACTTATTCCTGAAAGATAATAACCACTAGCATGGTAACATAAATTGAAAAAAACAATTAACGAAAACGGACAACTGCACGATTGGAGAACCACTAAAGAAAAATAATCATGAACACGGAAAAATTGTTGTGAAATCAATCGAACGAAAAGGAATCTCTGATAAGGTTAAGCACCTAGAATGGTGAAATTATTTCCTGAGTTACTCCATAGAATCGGAAAATGAGGAACTGAAGTGCAGATAGGCTTTACAAAAGACGATGTAATCTAAGCTTGTGATATTTTAAAATACAAAGAAAACCGCTAGAAATACGCATTATTTGCACCCACAATCAAGGTATTTAGAATCAAATTTATGATTGACAATTGGAAAATGTGTAGCAAAACGGGATCGCCCTACCTAAACTTTCTCAAACGTTTTAAAGTACGATATAATAAAATACTTAAAGAGAATGAAGATGCAAAGATAAAAAATAGAAGTAAACTAAGAGTTGCGGAAATAGTTGAATTTTAATGAAATCATGAACCGACAAATCTTAGAACACCACTGAAAATCTGGAAATCTAAACGGTTTTTATTCAAAATTACATGACAAATATACGGAAATTATAGAACCTAGATGAGTACCTACCTAGATGGCCGCCCCATATATATGCCGGGAGTAGGCGAATGTGGTCGTTCGGTTATGCTGAAATCACACCTAATAGGTCGTCCATCAATTTCCATCCCATGCGCATCGGCCTTTGCAGCTTTTGCGTCAGCGACGTGAGTGAAATATACAAAACCAAATCCACGAGAGCGACCTAAAGATTACATAAAGAAGAGCTAACAAACCTGTGTAGTTATCGAAGACTAATTGAACATCTTCAATATTTCCATACTGCGAAAAAATATCGTAAAGGTTTCTTTCTTGGGTATGAAGGGATAAACCAAAGACACCAAGACACCTGGAAGGAGTAGGATTTTCTCGCGGCCCAAGAAACCTCCTGAAATGAAACAACAGAGCAAGACTAGTGTCTGAAATCTTATGACAAGAATAATGAGATTACCGAGTAATATGACCGACTTTTTCGGTCATACTGCATGACTTGTCTCGAAGACACTTATCATGAAAAACAGGTCTCATACGCTCACACGCCATTTGTCTTTTATCTACGGAGAAATACAGTAAATTGCTGTGTAGTATGGATGCCAGAAAGTGACCCGAACAGTGGTCAGACAAACTCAACATGGGTTGATGAGATTTTCTAGAACAATTAAGAGGTTACATTAGTTTGTTTACAACGGGATTGAGGCATGTGGGCCTATGCAGTTCTGTCCGCATAATTATAGTAACTGCTGATCAAGATTTCGTATATTTTAAGGTCTTTTCTACCAATCGCACTAGTTTGAGAATTGTTTCCATAGTATAATCTTGGTATACTAATTTGATGTAACACACATTCCAGGTTTCGCCTTCTACGACTAACCAATAGATAAACATAATTACTTAATCATAGGAAAATTGCAAACATCATCTCGAAATAGTATGCTTTAGTTAAATATCTCGAGTTTGAGTACCGCTATAACGCTTAAGCGAGTGTAGATTAAAGAGATTAGTGTGCAAAGGCTAGCAAGGACAATAACATATAACAATACTGACTGACAGAAGACGTGAAATTTCACAACTTTAGGAATATTGTTAGATAAACTGGGATGAGAACCACGTTAAGGAAAATCATTGAATTGAGAGTATAATTTATGGACAATGTTTGAGCGACGCTTGAGAATGTACACTCAACGATTACGACCGAGGGTAAGAAGCAATTAAAAAGGTCAATTTCTATTGATCGGTTTTCTTCACGAATTGGAATCACCTATGATGCCAAAACTCTACTTAGTCCAATGTATGAATAAATTTCGCGCAAGAAATTGCGTTTCGTTATCTTATATCTGACTGGTTCGTTCACAAATGATGATCCCGCCGGTTTTCCTTGTGAATCCCGAAATAGGAAAATCAGTTTTGAACTATTATAGAGATGAATTCTTGTGTTGATTTGTTAGTGATTGTGCGCGTAACATGATTAACTTCTCAAAGTAGGTAACGCATATACACACACAAGTAATTATAAACTGATTATTAGTATCATAGGAAGTCAACTGATCGTTCTAGTGCCATCTGGAAAAGGATTTGCACATCTGTAGGGTATGGGCTGTTGATTTCAAAAAGCTGACAACTATCGGAAGTATGGTACAGTTAGAACAACGACTTGGCGGGTCCGAAATGGACAAAAGAGAATTTATGAGCAGGTCTAAGATGGATGATGGGGAATCGGTAAACTACATGAATTTTGGTCAAACTGTTACACAATTTCAAGAAAATTACGTAAAATGAGTGTGCATGTGTGAGATGTGAAGTAACATGCTTGGAAGGATGTAAGACTTACTTTCGGCCGGAACTTCTATATCCGTAGCCAGGGCTGCGACGATAAAAGTCACGACTTCCGCTGCGACTCCTGTAGCGACGCGAGTGTGATCTGAAATACGCTTGCACGCAATATTAACTCACTTGGAACGAGATCGAGACCGACTGTATCGACGACTCCTGGGTGATACGCTGTTTCTATAACCGTTTGAAGTAATTGGCGAGTCTGTCCTACGCATGACGACCAAGAAACTATTGAACTTTAAGTAGACCGCCGGTATCTAGGATAACAATTATTTCAAACAAGCTTATCCCGTGAAAAACTATAAACGAGTAGTGCTAATGTGTATCGAAATTCAGTTTCAAATATTCACTTACTAGTTATAATGATCGTTTTTAATGTAATACGTTTCGCGCAGCAAAAAAATTTTACGCGCGACCACAAGTCAGTTCGTTTTGTTTTTAATTCATTATAATCAAAATATATATTTTGGTGTTGTCGACTGAAGTAGGCTTTAAAATGCATTTCGACATCTATCTGATTTCGTATTTCGCATATGTTTGTCTAAAAATTAAATCCGTGCTAAAGTTTTACTCGTTTTTAAATACGATTTTCTACAAACTAGAATGCTCTGTGAAATAAAAAAAAACTAGCAGTATGATATTGTGAACACCTGCCTCTTTCGTATGATTCATCTTTGTCTAGTTTTTTGTGAACATTACCTGGCATTCGTATCTTCGGTTTAAACTAATTTTTTTTCAAAAAAAGCTAGTTTTATGGCTATTGGTACTTCCTCGATATCACTAAACACTTCAGCCTTTCGATATGAAAAGTTTTACTAGCTAAGGCGCAGTCTTCAGTATTAAGTATTGTAGGTCGAACGGTTCATACTTTTTCTCGCATTTTTAGTGATGCGATAATCCAATCACAACTCTTGGATGTATCAGCAATGTTTCGCCACAATTATTCATATATATTTCACGAAAGATGACCTTGTTAGGACTAGTTTCTGGCATCAACCTATCAATCCTCTGAACCAGTGAATACGGGTCCTGCAATATTATCCTAACTTTTATGCACTATATAGATCTCCAAATACTGATATTTATAACCAGAGAATAGAACAGATAACTTTGTTAAGTCATTTACTTTAAGGGATTATGCTTTTATAAAGTCGTCATGTTGACAAGGCTCTATCTGTACATAGCTGTTGCCTCCAGACATGTCATTGAGAAACTCACTTATTCAGTTACTAATTGATCACAAAATTTTCCGGTTTTAATTTGAGACCTAGGTGAGAGACAGTCAAAACTCAGCCAGTCATTCAGCTACCATGTAGGATCAGGCACGTGTGCGTCGGTCCAAGTTGCCACACCTTATTAGCACAAGATGAACACGAAATTTATCGAAGTAGTTACTTCAGTAATAAGGATTAGTCTATCGACCTATATTGATCCTTGCAGTTTATAACACTGTGGAGGTCCAATACTGTTCTGAATATATCAACAAAAGGTGGTACTACGTGTCCCGGTAGAGACTTTCAGTAATTCACTACTCAGTACGAGAAACGAAACTCCAGACGTAGACGATTTGATCTCAGCTTTCGAACCTTCTTCGAGTGTCCTCTCAAATGATCAGTCTCATACGGAAGAAAACGACAAGACATGTTAATACCAAGGTCATCGTTCAGTATATGATAAGCCAATATTAGATCGCCCCGTATTCTACGGTAAGATAACGGAAATAAGTTAAGGTATCTCAGTCTGTCTTCATAAGATTGGCCATTTTAGTCCCTCGTCAATGGACTCGTTCCAGCATACCCACCTTATACTTGAAACGAAGACTCGTTGCTTGAATCCCATATTCTAAATGTGGTTGCACGAAAGTCCGGTATAACAATCCAAACATTTCATCCAAATACTGGAAAGACCTATGAATAGACCATAATGCACCACAGACTTTTGCAGCAGCAGCCTCACCACAATCTTGTTAGGATTCACTTCTAGTGACCACGCATACATCCATGCCGCCAATGAGTTGAGATCATCCTGTAATACTATTCTATATGACATTCTGTGTATGGCTCTCTGTGAAGTAATATATAAAAAAGATTGCATATAAGGATATGATACAGGGAGAAATAATTAGTTCGTACAAAGGAAGGCATTGAGCAATTTTAATATCACAGGTAACAGGAACACAGAAAGTATGTACACCTATGACGCCATTGTGATCGATTCTGAGCCATGTCACCCACAGTCTCCAGCTGTTGATTACGATAGTCACGCGGACCACAACCAAGTCGTATCCATCTACAAACATGGCTCAGACCAGAAGTTGGTGACTCCAAGAACTGATGCCCCATTTCGGTTTGGTCGACCCTAACTTTCTTCCGACCATCTCCAACACCGGTTAGCATTGCACGTCGTGGTAATCGGTGTTCAGGCATACGCAACACGTGGCCCAACCATCTCAGTCGATGAAGATTCACAACCTCATCAACTGATTCACCATCAGTCCCTAGTACACTGTGTCTAACCTCACTATTACTTACCCAGTGATCCCAGCAATATTTCTAAGGCATCTGTGGTCAAATACTAGTAACTTAAGAGTATCCTCTACCCTTAATGGTCACGCTTCGCAGCCGTAAAGTAGAACGGAAAGAACTGCTGCGCATTATACTCGTTCTTTAATTGATAAACGGATATCTCGCCTTCGCCATAGGTGATGTAAGTTGGCAAGAACCAAGCGAGCTTTTCGAATCCGTGCTGAGATTTCGTCAGACACCAACCCATTAGGGCTGATCAACCTTCCAGGATAAGTTGTCAACGCGTTCGACTACTTCGCTCCCTATCCTTAGTTGACGCAGGCCAGTCCTGAAGCAACAATTTGCATTTCGAGGGAGAGAAGCGCATTCCAATTATTCTGGCATTGTTGCTTAGTGCTGACAAAAGACTGCATTTTATCAGCGTCTTCAATAAACAGGACTATATCATCTGCGTATTGTAAGTCGATGAGTGGACCTCCTGGAATGAGATCAATCCCTAAAAATTCAGTCAACGAAAACTTTGTTGTCAAACGACATTTAAAACTGAATGAATACTAGGTTACAATGCACCAGTATAGTAACATTAATATTTGCACGCTAGCTTCAAAATTGTTTTTAGCAAACACATTCCAGTTCCACTCTCACTAAAATTCCAATCAGCTTTGCCATTCAGAATATAATGACCAGGTTAACTAAAATAACGGAACTGTTTAACATTATTGAAAAATAACCCTGGACTATGGAACTAAATCTTAAGCGATTTTTTGCGTACATATCATGATAGCTTTAACTCATCAGCTAATCATACCATTCATTAATAATTTGAACAACGAATTCGCTTTCTCCAACGACACGCTTATACTTTCTGTTTTCGTTGGACGTTATTGTTAGCTGGGGTTAAATGTATCATTATATGATAACTTGATTATCATAAACCTTAAGTTAGCACATTAATATTAGGATTGCGCAAAACTAGCGTATTTCACTCTTCATCACCTGGTCTAAATAACCTCTTTTTCTATTTTTTTTTAGGTCCGAATTCAGGAAAAATATTAACTTGTGGAAAATCGTATCCCGCTCAGCTTCATTGTCAACATGTTCATTCTATAAATTTAAATTATTTGAATAAACTTTTTCTGGGCTGTTTTTTTTGAGAGTAGCGACCGCAACGCTAAAAAAGAAAGCGTCGACAAAGAATCAAGGTTGCTGTTTTTTGGAAGAGATCACTCCAGTCACTACACACTCTTAGATTGTTATCGGTGTAGCATTAGTTTCTCTGAAGACAATCAGTTCAATTGGATTGCTAATTTTTCGAAGGTCAAGTTAAACTGTACATTCTCGAAAAACTAACTAGATGCTGTTCTGTCACTTATCGCGACATTTTCTTGGGTCTTTTGGCAGACGTTCCTTTTCCAAAATATCATTTTGTTATTTCTTGAAGTGGGATCCTTGTATAACTTTTCAGCAAAAAATTACTATACACGGTCCCTACCGTAATCGTTACACTCATTACAAAAATGCATATCCTAGAAAACTAGAAACTTATTACGACGTATACTACTTTGGCGCTTTAACGTGTGTATTTTTACTATTTATTTCTGTAGGGTAAGCTTGCATGTATTTTTAATTATTTTTCAGCTTCCCTTATTTAGAACGGAAGGTTTATGAGTCCAATGATGACAAAGGTGCGAAAAAGAAGGTGTGTCAACCCTTTATTGAGTTAACTTATTTCAGGTATGTAATGTGACAAATGCCAAATGTCAGTCAGAGGTTTCTGACACAGATGAGGAACAGCGACATCAAAACGACTCTGTAAGAAAAAAACATGCTGGATTTCGAGACAGGAAGGTACTTAATAACTTTCGTCAACCGTTTTTTATTCGGTTAATAAACCTGCGTAACTTTAAGGTGGCTTATTATATTTTCTGTGTTCATGTTCATTCTATTCATCTGAAAGCATACTTTTCGAAAGTTTTTGTCCGAATGTGAGTTATTTCTCACACGAATATTTAAGTATTTCGAAAATATCTAACCAAGATTTATTTGTTTGTTGGTAAATTATGTTTTTTGGTTGCAAAGTGTCTTAGTAGCTGATGCTGTCTTCTGGTTTTCTTTCTCGTACCAGTGGCAACATGAGTCAGAAAATAATAACTTATGTTGGAGATGTAGAATGAAGTTAAGAAAGTGAACCTACTTGTTTCAGTGTGACCAATCCTAAGCTATGTCACTCATGACTTATGCCCATCGTCCCCAGGATTTCATCCTAGAACTCCATATTTCTCGATACTCATTCTGAATAGTTAGTGGCGCTATCTATTGATGACATATTTGAGTCTAACTTTACTCACCACGAAGTACATAAAATAATAGAATATATACAACTCAAGAATGAATGGGAAGGGAATTATGCGAAATTCATCTCAATTATTTTTGAAATATATTGCACAAAAGTTGTAGCATTTTACCGACAGTGCTTTCCGGTAACAAGTTGGAAAGTTAATAGACGTGCATATAAACCAACAGGTTTAGCCATATCTTAACACTCAGCCTCGTTCTACCTATTTGGTATAAAACGAGGAAGTGCATCAGGACCTAATAGGTTAACTCCATAGACTTGTTAGAGATGTTTCAGTTAGAGAATGTATGCTGACTAAGACAATAGCTAGGAAGATAACCATAGAGGAATCGGTTCGCTTCTTGAGGCTCACGTGCAAAAACATAGGGAAAACCAGGTTAGTTCAA